TCGCTAAGTCACAATCACTTATAAATCGTTGTATTTAGGTACTATCTATGTCGTAAGAACAATAGGGAATCACATGGTACTTTGTTTATACGTATAACGACTAATCAAGTATAAATGGTTAAATAATGATCACAAAATAAGAGAAAATCACATACCAACATTCGCGGCTAATAAGGCATTGTCACTTCGTCAAGACTTGTGTAAACTGACTAAATCTTACACGTGGGTAAACGAAATATGACACTATAATGATTGCGTTACTCGTGGCACTAATRATAATAATACACTAACTACACTTACAATATTTTTAATCGCAACGTCTTCGAATTCCTGGATAAAACTGCCACTTCTATGAGTACTAGCATAGGCTACTTGGTGCCGTGCATCCTTGCCTCCACCGCGTACATCGCAAGCAGAGACGCTCTCATTGCCCACAAGAATCAAGAAATGCCGATTAACCTATACGTTTTATTTGTTGGTCCTCCATCCACTGGAAAGTCACAAGCACTAATGCATGGCTCTATTCTGCCCATGTCCACACTTATCGAAAACCACGGTATCGACAATTTTATGATGGACAAATGCACTTCCTCTGGCCTCGTCAAAAGCATTTCAACAAACAAAGAAGGATTTGTTGTCTCACCCGAAYTCTTCGACATGCTTAATAAGCTGTTGAAATCCGACGAAGACAACGCTACTGGCGATGCACAACTCTTGTGTGAACTGTTTTCAGGAGAAAGGGTATCATATACCTTCGCMTCGGAGCGTGTACGCGAGATCGAGCCAAATGTGCCATTTTCAATTGTCGGCGCTACCCAGGTGCCGTTTGCAGCCAAGCTCATCGCCAGATTAGACCAAGGCCATGGACTCCTAGATAGATTTCTCATCTTATTCCCTCCATGCTATCGACCTACAGTAGAAGAAACAGACGCCGCTCTAGACTGGCTCCGTAACCATACCAACGTAGAGTCTATCAAAGACATATTCATCGAATTGTCGGAAAACGTCAGAAAAGCCAACTACAAGTTTACCTACGACGCACAGCAGCTTTTGCATGCTATTAGTATGCAAGAAATTGAGGACATCAATGAAGCATTGAAACAAGGGCTTCCCGTACCAAAATGTAAAAGATGTGACCTCATCAAACGTCTAGCAGTTTCCCTTCAAATCTTCAACCACGTTGCAACCTACTTACTCAACGATGCTAAACCACCACCTACACCAGAGATGATCGGAAAAGTATCCGTCGAGGGAGCGCAACGACTCCTGAACTACGCAAATACACAGAAGCAAATAGCAACTGAGGTAAATATAAACAATATATTTTATTAYACCTTTATTTCACATTTCAAAATGTACGCACAGCTCATCCACTTTCATATTCTTCTCCYYACTCACTCTMCATACTCCATACACAACATCTTCAGTTATACAAACTCTCGAATTATACAATGATTCTTCGGCAAATATGTATGTTACACCAATGATATATAAACTAGAAATCATTAAATTACAATTTTTCATTCCAGTTCATTAACGACATCGTGAGCTCATGCACAGAGAAGGAAACCAAGCAGCCATCAAAGCTGGAACAAAAAACCGCAATTCTGATGTTTCCTGGGCCAATTACAACTTCTAGATCCTTCAAGCAGTATGCCCCACGATCTCTACGTTCCGTTTCAGAACAAGAGTTTCAACAAGCAGCAAAGGAACTAGATGCTTTTGGAACAGTCGTCTCGATACGTGTACCGAGGTMCACAAAGTCTACGATTGTGTTTATCAAAAAACACGCCCACGMCATCGACTGGGATCAACAAGATATCTGCCAGAAAGACCAGTACACTGTGAAATACAACTTGCCAGTSCATACCTCCATTCCCCAAGGAGTCAGGAATCAGCTCACCAACGCTGGACATGTTCCTGAAGACTTTTTTAACCATTGAACTATATGAATACTTTTAACTTCTTCTAGTTTTTCTGTCTGTAGAACATTTATTACATCATCAATGCAATTACGAAAGCGA